TTGGTCACTCCAGCCGCACGTTCATTCTAACGTTCCCATTTCAGCAGAATAAAATAGTCTCTTCGCGGTTCTAATTTATGATCTAAAAATTACTGTCGTTGAGCTCAACGAACCTTCTTGGTACACCTCTTTGATCGTCCAGGAGTATAGGAGTGATGCCAGTACTGTTAAATGCAAGTGGATTAACATGTGAACTTATCATGATTTTTAAGGTTCCGCAGGCCGTGCCAACCAGCGCGCCTGTCCACATTAGACAACAACCTCTATAAATAGTAAATTGGGCTGTAATCAAAGCCTCGTTGCCATCACCACCACACTCATACAATACATTCAATAGTTACAAGGAGACCCGTAGCGTAAAACTAGAGCTTATAAGACATTCTCATGAATCACACATTTGCTATAACCCGTTTTTACTGCGCACGATACCACGCGTGTCACATGGCGGCTGAAAATGGAGTATCAGTCAGAAGGTCACCATAACCCCAAATACCCATTGATATTGACTAGTTCCCGTTTTGACCTTCCTAAAACTCCAAACCTTTCGGTGATCTTTGAGTGTCGAGCTTCACCTTTCACGCCTGTACCCACTCACTGGTGCCCTTCATTACCCGTCTTGAGCACTCTACGCAAGAAATCAAATATTTGATCGGTCCCGATCGGTAGCCTTCAGCCCGACAAAAACTCTACTTTTATACCACTACTACCTAACTACCAAAACTCTACTCACTTTTCTCCCAGTTTTAAGGTTTTTTTGGAACCCAGTGATAAGTTGCGTGGGGTAGACAGTCGATTTTGGTGCCCACCACTAGCGCTTGACTTTCCTCTTCCTCCTTTTTCTTTATGCTTCTCTACCGAACATGCTGGGCTCCCGAAACCGATTTATGAGGATTCGTGCAAAACTTCGACCATATGGGAACGCACTCCACTTAAGCGGCGTAACCAGCCACATGCACCAAAAGTTTTCCCATCAGTAAGAAGCAGCAGGATAGTCAACTAATAAAGTTTTTGTACTACAAGGCTTTCTAACCTTTTCAAGCTTGACAGTTGTGCGATGGGCCGAAAGCTCCGTCAGAGCCTTATGAAGTTCCAAAATGCTTCTGCAATAATTTCGCAACTCTTTTTTGGAAAG